TATATATATATATATATATATATATATATATATATATATATACACACACACCAGTGGGGTTACGGCTGTGCACGCACAGCCGACCCCAATTTAGTCAATAATAAAGGAAAAATTTTATGTGTTATAAATCATTAAAATTAGTACATTAATATTTGCGACAAAAAGATATAGAAACTACTTGAAAATTAAAATAAGTATCAAGATTAAAATACATCCAAAGTTGAGTTTTGAAATTCTTAATCTTCTCGACAAAAAGATATAGAAACTACTTGAAAGTTAAAATAAGTACTAAGATTAAAATGCATCCAAAGTTAGAGTTTTGTAATTCTTAATCTTTTCGATACAATAGCCGGTGATTGAGAAGATATAGAAATTCTTAATCTTCTCGATTCACAAAACCGGACACTCAACGGATCGAGAAGAATAGTCGGTTAAGTCATTTCCAATACGAATGTGAAAATCTTAAAAAGAAGAACAAGTCTCTGAAGGCAACGTGGGAGAATTTAGATAATGAGGAGAATGAAGAACCTCCATCTCATACGTCTAACATGGCAATTCGCTCCTTAGTAAGCAAGTTCATGTGCCTTGCCACTTCTCATTTCCCAACAACGTTGGAAGAAAGTATTATTGAATCTGATGCATCTGATGATGAATCCGACCAGAACATATGTATGGATCTAGTTCATTTGTTGGCTATGAAATGTTGGACGTGCCACTTTTAATCCCTCAATGTGGTTTGCGCATCCGTAGAATAATTTTTACGATCCTGCACAAATAATTAGACCAATCAGCTAATTTCAATAAATATTTCAAGTATTTAATCGAACCAATAAAACAAACACTTCCTTATATATTCGATCACCATATTTTTTGGGTTCGTCGATTTACTGTCAATTTTCAAATACTTACAAGGATTGGACGAACTTTTATTATAAATCTTGAGTTATATCATAAGCTTATTTGTATAGCTTTTTAAATAAACCAGTTGAAATTTTATTTCAGCTGACTTATCAGCTAATTTTACCGAACACAAACTTGAGTTTATCTTCTAAGCTTATTTGTGTAACTTTTCAAATAAATCCGTTCAACTGACTTATCAACTAATTATACCAAACACTTTTATCGCATTAGATCGATTATAAATTAAAGGGTAAAGTCCACTTTTGGTCCTCCATGTTTAGGGGGTATCCAGACTGAGTCCCTATTATTTTTTGTTGCCCAATTTTAGTCCTTAAAACAAAAAAATGTAGTCCCTATTATGTTTTGGTGCCCAATTTTAGTCCTTAAAACAAAAAAATGTAGTCCCTATTATATTTTCGTGCCCAATCTTAGTCCTTAAAACAAATAAATATAGTCCCTATTATGTTTGGGTGCCCAATTTTAGTCCTAAAAATAAAAAAATGTAGTCCATATTATGTTTTGGTGCCCAATTTTAGTCCTAAAAACTAAAAAATGTAGTCTCTTAACCTCAATTTATGTGAATTAACGGTCCATTTTTGTTAATAACATCAAAGTAGTTGTGTCAAATAATTTAAAACATCGAAAGATGTAATCAAATTTCAAAGGAACAAATTATTGAGGTACTGGCCATGGACAAAATTGTCATTCACGCAAACCACCCCTCGAACGAGTTCTTCAAGCAGTTCCCCAACTGCCGGATGTACGACGACCCAGGAGGCTTCGTCAGGGAAATACGCAAGGCACTAGAAAATGAGGCGGACCCACTCACGGACGAGTGGATGGATTGTTGTGTGCAGGGTATGTAATATAAATATATAATTTTATTATTTAATATTTAATAATTAATAATTATGCAATGAATGTATCATGATTTTTATAATCAGGTCAATAATTTGTTCCTTTGAAATTTGATAACATCTTTTCGATGTTTTAAATTATTTTACACAACTACTTTGATGTTATTAACAAAAGTGGACCATTAATTCACATAAATTGAGGTTAAGGGACTACTTTTTTGGTTTTTAGGACTAAAGTTGGGCACCAAAACATAATATGGACTACATTTTTTTATTTTTAGGACTAAAATTGGGCACCCAAACGTAATAGAGACTATATTTATTTGTTTTAAGGACTAAAATTGAGTACGAAAACATAATAGAGACTACATTTTTTATTTTAAGGACTAAAATTGGGCACCAAAACATAATATGGATTACATTTTTTTGTTTTAAGGACTAAAATTGAGCAACAAAAAATAATAGGGACTCAGTCTAGATACCCCTAAACATGGAGGACCAAAAGTAGACTTTACCCTAAATTAAAATTCATTTATAGCTATAAGTTAATTTATCAAGGGGGTGTCTATATGTACACCCCTCAAGTGTAAAAAAGGGGTGTACATATAGCACTTTTTTTTTTGTATAATTTATTAAAAGGGGGCATTGCCCTTTATCAATTAGATTGATAACACCATAAAAGTTTTTTGTTTAGTTTTGGAAACCGATGCGGATATGTATATAACTTTTGAAGTTACCAATTTTACCCCCGGTGGCATCAACGTTGCAACGTGTCCTGAACATCTACGGAACCGGAGGAGGCAGACAGTCGATCGATTGATTTTGTTTCAATCCCTCAACTTCTCTCTCATACAGCTCGTGAAAGGGGTTATCCACAAATTTTGTTTTCCTCTTCTCTCCAATTTCGCTTCAGATCTGTAGCAACAAAATGTACGGATTCGAAGCGCTGACCTTCAACATCCATGGCGGTTACCTGGAGGCCATCGTGCGAGGATACCGTTCGGGGCTCTTAACCGCCGCCGATTATAACAACCTCTGCCAGTGCGAGACCCTTGACGACATCAAAATGCACCTCTCCGCCACCGAGTACGGACCTTACCTCCAAAACGGTCAGTCTATCATCATTATTGTCGAATTTGAACCACGATATCCAAATAGCCTGATCTGCGATTTTGGGGTTTCTCTTAGTGACTAATAGGAGTATCAAATTTTGGAGTGGTGGGTTGGATTTTTCTTTTTGTTCGGATCAGCTGGATCAACTAGATGTCAGATTAGATTAGTCAGTTTTGAAGTTCCCATAGTTTTGAGCCTTGCAGTTTTGAATTTGATATGAAGCCCTGGAAAAAACATATGCAGTTGATGAATTAAGTAGTAGACTTCTGATTTTGGACTTGTCATTTTGATCGTAAAGTGTTTCTTCTATTTTCTGAAATAATTTAGACTCAAGTTCACAGTGGTGGTGTATAGTTTAACAATATGTCCAATCGGCTTCATTTTCTTTAAATGAATGGCATGTTTGTATTTTTATTTAATTACAAATCAAATGAACTAGGTTGAATATTTTTCTGCCAAAGGTATTGTTTCGATTCGGTTTCTATTGTGCTAGATTTGGATTCACTGTCATTAGCTTCTAAACAACTTCCAGTGGAAAAGACTTTTTGAAGTGCTTATTATAGACTACTATTTACTTGCAGAAAAGATCGGTGTGAATTGTAGAGACTTTGAGCAACTGAATTATGAAGTGTCTATCTAATAATTGATTAGTTTTTGTAACCATTTATTTGTTCCATTAATAGTTATGCTGCTTGCTGGCTTTGCCAGATCTCAAATTGTATCATTGCCTTTTCTTTTTCGTTCCCCCTTAGTCATTTTGGTTCTTATTGAATTGAAGAACCCTCTCCATTGCATACTACAACAATTGTGGAGAAGTGCACTCTTAAACTAGTGGATGAGTACAAGCACATGTTAGCCCAAGCAACAGAGCCTCTATCTACCTTTCTAGAGTATATTACGTATGTAGTTCTCTTCCTCTATCACTACTTGTATACTGTATTCACTCAATCGATCAATGCACCTGCATATATATGTGCATTTTATATCCCGATTAACAATTAACATTAATAAAACCAGTAACAATTTTTTTCAAGTGAATGTGGGTTGTTTTCTTTTTAAAATAATTTAAACTAGTAAATCCGTCTTATTTAGTATTTCGGTTCTTATTTATTTATTTTTTATCATCCAGACTTATGACTGTTTGGGTGATCATTTAGAAATAAAGGTCGTGGAGGTATGTCTCCTATGGGAAGATTTGTATTATTTACAGCGGGTAACCGCAAAGTATCCACCAGACATAGGCAATTGTGGCTCTAGATATCAGTGTATCGTTGTGTTTCTTTTGATCATTTTTTTCCCATAATGTGTTGTTTATATCGAACTCTATATATCAACTTGTATTCTTGTTTTACTTAGATATGGTCACATGATTGACAACGTAGTCCTTATTGTAACTGGAACACTGCATGAGAGAGATGTCCAGGAGTTATTGGAGAAATGCCATCCTTTAGGAATGTTTGACAGGTACAATTACGACAGTCACATGCTTCTAACATGCATAGGATTTGTACTGCATTATGAGTATTTTGACCAATTATTTCTACAGCATTGCAACTCTAGCTGTTGCTCAGAATATGAGGGAGCTTTACAGACTGGTGCTTGTTGACACACCCTTAGCACCATACTTTTCCGAGTGCATCACTTCAGAGGTTCATACTGCTGCTCATTTGTTCGCTTTTGTGCATTTGGGAACAACATTTTTGCAATGTTATTTGTTTTAGGTGTCACAAGGGTCTATGATCCATTTATGTTGTAAGGTTTTCAGTACTGGTTTGTGGTTTCGTTAGTATAGACTGAGGAGAGGAAAGGCCTGCAGTTGCCTGCTGTTTGTAGTGTGTTCTCGTTTATGTGGTACTATTGCATGATTAGAAATAGGAATTGGTTTTATTTGTATTCACTGACCAGTGGCCAGATGTAAAGGCCTCTGATTGCTTCTATTTCCTTTTTTTTGCGTTCACCCTCACGGCTTATTATCTTATTTGTGTCCTTTTGCAGGACCTGGACGACATGAACATTGAAATTATGAGGAATACACTCTATAAGGCATACCTTGAGGATTTTTACAAATTTTGCCAGGTTTGGAGTATTTGAAAAATTCAGTCTTGCTTTTGATTCATATGTTAGTTTATGTTTTCCGAGATCTGACTTTGCGAAAATCTACTTGCAGAAACTTGGCGGCGCCACTGCTGAAATTATGTCTGACCTCCTTGCCTTTGAGGCTGACAGAAGGGCAGTTAACATCACAATAAACAGGTTTATCAGATTCCATAATGGATTAAAAATATGCACAAGTTGAAGACATTATTTTGCTAACCATCCTTCTATGTTTATGTGTCTAGCATTGGCACCGAGCTTACTCGAGATGATCGCAGGAAGTTGTATTCTAAGTTTGGCTTACTGTAAGGAACTCTTTTTTACATCCTTTAGCTTCAAAGAGTAGATGATACATATTAGGTTCTATTTTCTTCTCACTGATGGCATAATTTTTTGGTAGATATCCTTATGGTCATGAAGAGCTTGCTGTCTGTGAGGATATAGATCAGGTATTATTTAATGGGCTATAACACAAAGTTCTGAGTTTGAATGGGCTAACTAAATTTTAAATTATTTTGAACCTATACTATCTTATGGTCTGATATATATTTTCATGATATTTCGTTAGATGGAAGGGTATTTGAGCTACCGTATTTTGTATCTGTTTTCTATGGCAAGTTGAGTCCTGTTTACCCTTGGGATATTGTATGTTGAAACCTTTTCTAGGTTCGGGCTGCCATGGAGAAGTATCCTCCTTATCAGACCATATTCTCTAAGTTGTCCTATGGTGAGAGTCAGATGCTGGACAAGGCCTTTTACGAAGAGGAAGTAAAACGCCTTTGCTTAGCGTTTGAGCAACAGGTCTGTTTACCCAAGCTCCCTCTTAATGGGCCACTCATGAATAGTGAAATAGTGGTTTGTTTGAATCTTTATTATGGTTATTATCAATGCTGCCTCTAAATCTAAGGTTAATCGTTGAAAAGAAGTTGTTATTCATCTAATTGCAAATATCTCCTCAAGGAATGTTTTCATGTTGCAATATGCTACTTTTTGAGGAGGTATATTTGTAAGACATACCCATACCTTGAGCTATTATTTGTACTTCAAAATGGTAAGCTGGAATTTCTTACGATCAACCTAAAACTTTGGTGCAATTTTTACTTCTATTATTATCACTACATCTTTGGCGTACCCTGCTTATACCACAAGTGATTGTGGGGGTTATATTGTTTCTATTTTTTTGTTTAAAAAAAATAAAAAATATCTTTTGCTGATTCTGTGAGCTTTGGGTGATGCAGTTTCACTATGGTGTGTTCTTTGCATATATGAGGTTGAGAGAGCAGGAGATTAGGAATTTGATGTGGATATCGGAATGTGTTGCACAAAACCAGAAGTCCAGAGTGCACGACAGTGTCGTTTCTATATTTTAGTATCCTGAAAAGAAAATTATATATATTTATATAAAACATTATGAGGCTGTTTCCCTAATTACCGCTACAATTCCCTCGTTGATTGGTTTTCTTTTCTTTCTTTTTTTTTTTCGTCTGTTGTTGCAACTTATTTATTTTGATTTTGGCACGTTGCCGAGGGTGTTGTTCATTTTGATCGATTCCATCAATAAGGGACGGGATACATCTGCATTATATTTGTTCTGAAAAATATGTTTATGAACTTCATCTGATGTGAAATAAGATTGATTACATGTATATTTATGGCGTATTACTGTAGGGGTAGCCGTGCTTGGGTTCGATTTGGTTTTCGTTAACTGTTATGAACATGTGATAATCATTTTAATAAATTGCTGTTGCATTGCTCAAGTTTTGACTACACCTTGATTATAAATAATGGACGGCTCATGTTTGAACTTTCACGGATTGAACAAGAGCTCCAGTGTGAAGGACATACATTGCGTAAAAATATTAATATTCCTACGTGCCTTTCTAAATTTGTGCATTTTGCCTATGTTTTTAGAAACTGTACAAGATCGTTGTAGTTCTTGGGTGTTCTTTTTTCTCCGATTTTTTCTTCTCCCATTTTTTTGGTTCAGCCCAGCTGTGTTTGACTTTTTGTATTTTTTATAGAATTGTGTATTCTCTGTTTGGAGTTCTTTTGTTTGCTAGTCTTTGTACCACTTGGTCGCTTGTGTAATTGAGATGGAGTTGATCTAAACTTTGTTCTGGCTTTAATGGTGTCTTTACTAAGTGTATTTTTTTTGAGTTATTAATATATTTATCGTTATAATCAATAATTGTTTTCTTGTCATGAAATTTGTCAAAGAGAGAAAAACAATTAAATACATTTACAAAAGAATTAAGAAAAATAGCTATGAAAACTATTTTTTATATAAATAATAAATATATATCAATAATTAATAATAGTCTGGAGTACGTGGGGTCCTAGAGCACTAAATGTCGTGCAATACCATAATGAATTTTATTTTGGAGTGTAAACTAGTACAGATCCTATGCGATGTACGGGTGCATAATTTAAGGTCATTTATCCAGTCTTATAATTATATAAATGAATAAAGAAAAATGTACGCGATATATATAGTACGTGACCTGTGCGAGGCATGAGATATATTTATTTGAGATATTATAAGATGCGATATTTACAATACACGAAAATAAATATAAATAATGTAAATATCTAAATACATGCACGATATGTAAAATAAATAAGTCAAATTGCAAATTTGAAAATATAATTAAAAAAAATCGAAAATATATTTCACTAAACATGTACAAAAATATCTAAATACATACACGAAAAAAATTAAAATATACGTTTCAAATTTTAAAATTAAAACAAAAATTCAAATAATTTGGCTTAAAGTTTTATCATGCAGAACCAACTCGAGATATGATTTGTATGTGCTGCCCCAGTCTTGGAAAAACATTCTCACAATTGGAACTTTGAGCATAGGTCTATTAGACCTATTAGCTAGTTTGATTAGCCCAAATCCTTGATTCATTGTTTTGAATAAAAGACTGATTGTGGATATTTTTTGTTTGCGGGAGGTTGACGGTGAGGAAGATGATGACTCGATATTTTGAGATCTGTAATTTATAATGGGTAGAGTAGATATATATTCATGTTAATATTTTTATTAGAAAATCTGAATCTGAATATACAGAAATTAGTTTGAACAAAATCAGAACAGATTTCCATACAATTAGATAATAAGAAGGAATTAGATGAGGAATTTTGAATCTACCTTTTTTAGTATATAGACTTTACGTACAAATTTTGACTTTACCGATTTTATGGGATTTTTTTTTAAAACTGATTTTATGGGATAAGACAAATAAGTAAAATAATTAAATAAAATTTTGGATAGAAATAGCAATGCATTAATTATGTTGACTTTTCAACCTATTAAATTTGATAAATAAGATACCTTATTATATAAGTATAGATATACATATAGATGTGCATGGACATTTCACATCTACACAAAGACATTAATTATTTGCTAAAAACATTTCGATTTACTTTTAGTTTTTAATTTAAAGTATTTCAATTTTATCTGCAAACAGATGAAAATATTATTTATTTTATAATCAGTATACTATTATTTTAATAAGCAAATTTAATTTATAATGTCTTCACTTATTAGTAAACTAGATTGGACCCGGCTGTGCACGCACAGCCGACCCTAGTCCAGTCTATAATTATATTTAGTATTTGTAAAATTTTTAAAACACACTTACCCACATTTTATGGAGCAACCAAAATGCCACATATTTTTTTGTTTGTTTAAACTGTTTTTCACAAATAATTTTTTTCAACAATTTTTTGACCACTCTTTTGACTCATTTGTTTGTAACATTCAAACAAATTTCTCAAAATAATTTATACTCTAAACCATTTTCATTCCTCAATTTATTTTGTAGGTGTACCATAAAATTGTCATTTTTATACCCTATGTTTTATTAGGTTCTTATAAAATGTGGCCCAATTTGTTTTGGTGGCTTATTTTGGCCCAATATGTATACATATATAGAAATGTCATAACGTGTCTGTATTGTCAAAGGTCTTCTCGTATTCTCCGCTTCGCCCTTCATTCTGCCGTCGCTTCTCTTTTTT